ATCCATTTAAACTTATTTGATAAGTTGTTCAATTTAGAATTCAAATTAATTTAAGTTTGACTTAAATTGGAATTTGAATTTGAGTCAAAATTGGACTACAGGATAAATGATGATTTTCGCTTCCTTTCCTATCTGCAAATTGGCACCACACAGGGATGAAAATTCTCTAGCATGGCCGGCCACAAGGATAAGGGATAGAGGAGATTTTGTTCAAAATTCAAATAGGAGATAATTGACAAGCTTTATCTTAGAGATAGAGATTAGATTCCTTCTAGAAGTTTGACTTCTACTCTATAAATAAGAGGATAATAGAAAATTGCGCGAGACAATTTTTGAAACAATTTTTCTGCCCTAATAGTTAAGGCTGGCCGAAATTCTCAAGGTAGAGAGGAAGGAAAAAATTTTTCTCCAAAAATTCCACATCGTGCATGCGTTGGTGTTTGTAGAAATTTGAGTGTTTATTGCAACCCATTTTGTCTCATGTGTGCCCACACATACGTCTTCGTGGATTCTAGGAATTGACGCGGAAGACATTAGTTTTCTAAACACAACGCTTTGGAGCAAGGATTGTTCGAGGTCAAAGAACTCAAGTTATCAACCGAGTCGGCCTCCAGGTATTTTTCCTAATTGAGTTCTTAATAAATTAATTAATGAGATTAGTTTATTCGTGCATAAATTAATATAATCTATAGAGTATCTCAAAGGTTTTATGAAAATTCTTGTTATACACGATCCGCCTCCCGCCCCACGCTTCCGCATCCGGATTCGATTCGGAGACCAACACTTTTCTCCCCCATTACTTTCACCGTGAGATTTTCTAATAAAATCTCAAATGAAAATCTCCAACGTCTCCGCCCGAGAGTATTTTTTAATGTTGAAAGATAATTAGCTAAGAAAATATACTAAAATCATAAGGGTTTGAAATATCTAAATCGGGAGATATTGCTCCAGAATCATTCTCTGTTGAATAACAAATTTCAAGTTATCATTCCACAAAGAAAAGAAAAAACCAAGAAAAATCATAAAAAGAGCAAGAAATGGTGGGTGCGTTTGAAACTCATTCTAAAATGATTTTATTTTTTTATGAAAATGAAAATGAAAACATTTTCAATCTCAGACAGAAATTATTTTTAAAAATGCGTTTGGTAATTTTATCAAAAGATTATTTTTAATGTAAAAAAATCTATTAATGTCTTTCTTTCTCTCTCTACTCAAGAGAGGAGAAAATAAAAATAAAAAATAAAAAAAAATGACTAAAAGTCATTTTTCATTTCTCTCTCATTTTACACTAAATCAAAAAATTATTTCCATTTTTGCTTTTTGTTTTTATTACGCCAAATACTATTTTAAAAATATTTTTATTTTTTTCCTTAAAAAACGTGAAAAATAAAAATAGATCAATTCCAAACATAGCTGTAAGTTTTTTTTTTACAAAATCTTGTTCAAGAACTCGTTTTTAGGAACTCAAGAAAAGGAAGAAGGTTAGTTCAAGAACCGGAGCAAATCACCTGCAAAGACAGATTCCTCTGAGGGCAAGGGAAGGCAGGGAGAGAACTTTGCTCTCGTCTAGCGAAAACCCTAGCATCCGAGGCTGACGGATAAGTAAACAGAGGCAGAACTTGCCGGTAGAGTTCAACCCATTGAGAACGCGTCGCAGCAATCGTCTTCATCGGCGGTGACGGCGAAGCTTAGGCTCCTCGCGTTGGTCGGCAAGTCCGGTGCCTTTCTGCTTTGATTCCTCTCTTCTGGTGCCGTGATCCCTGGATGGAAGAGTACGCCGTCACGGCCTTGCTCAACCTCTCTTTTCACTTAGTAGAGAAATTACACTTAGCACAGAAATTACCCAATATTCAACCCAATTTCTTGTTGTCATTACGTAAACATCACCTCCAATTCGACTGAGATTGTGTTTTTACACATATCCCAAGTTAAATAGGTCACGTAGGCATCACGTGACTTCTCTTGATATTATTTGGACGAATCTTAATAGAAAAGTTTTAATTGAACCGGTTTAAAAAGTTTATGGTTGTTTTTTTAAAATTAAAAAAAGTAAGGATTAAACTGTCACCTACTAAAGATGTTAAGGATTATCTGTGTAAATTACCTAAAAGCACATGACATGATCAATGATACTGTAGAAAACGACATGTCGTCTTGCTTTTGAGAGGACTTATTCAGAATGTTTTTCTTGAAAAATTGAGCTGAGTGGCATTTTTTAACCACCTCTTTTCACAAATGGCTGCATTTTTTTATTTTACAAAAATGGTCGTTATGTTTACATAAGTCAATCAGTGATTGACCTATAGACTATAGTCTATCAGCACGGTCAATCAGTGATTAGCCGATTCATTATTAATTTATCAATAATTTATTATTAATAAACATATAATTTGTCGATTGAAACTAATAAATTACAACTTAATTTTGGTTAATTATTAACTAATGTTGATTAATAATAAAAAATGATTGAGTCAATTAGTAATTGACTGTTGAGTCTATCAATGATTGACTGCTAAGTCTATCAGTGATTGACAATTAAATTAATAAAAATAGTCTTTTTTACAATTTTACAAAACTTCAGCGATTCATGAAAAACATCCTAAAAAGGTTATTTGTGTTAAAATCTCTTTTTTTGTTAATAAAGTGCGGCATGCTTTATCGTTT